GCTGTGGCATGTATTTGAAAGTAGACAGCAAACAGGACTTCCCTGTCACTACAGCATAAACACACACAAGGAAGGGCGTGTGTGCTTGGACTACCTGCAAGCAGGTATATAAAGGCTTTCAGAGGAGAGGCCTCCACCTTCCTCTCCTCCTCCCTCTCCACCTGCTGCTCTCACCTCCTCCACCCTCCACCTCCAGAACCATGACCTGCTGTGGCTGCTCCGGGGGCTGTGGCTCCAGCTGTGGGGGCTGTGGCTCCAGCTGCTGCAAGCCCGTGTGCTGCTGTGTGCCAGCCTGTTCCTGCTCCAGCTGTGGCTCCTGTGGGGGCTGCAAGGGGGGCTGTGGCTCCTGTGGAGGCTGCAAGGGGGGCTGTGGCTCCTGTGGGGGCTGCAAGGGGGGCTGTGGCTCCTGTGGGGGCTGCAAGTCCAGCTGCTGTCAATCCAGCTGCTGCAAGCCCTGCTGCTGCCAGTCCAGCTGCTGCAAGCCCTGCTGCTGCCAGGACAGCTGCTGCAAGCCCTGCTGCTGCCAGTCCAGCTGCTGCCAGTCCAGCTGCTGCAAGCCCTGCTGCTGCCAGGACAGCTGCTGCAAGTCCAGCTGCTGCAAGCCCTGCTGTCAGTCCAGCTGCTGCAAGTCCTGCTGCTGTCAGGACAGCTGCTGCAAGTCCAGCTGTTGCAAGCCCTGCTGCTGTCAGGACAGCTCCTGCAAGTCCAGCTGCTGCAAGCCCTGCTGCTGCCAGTCCAGCTGCTGCAAGCCCTGCTGCTGCCAGGACAGCTGCTGTGTCCCTGTGTGCTGCCAGTGCAAGATCTGACCAGTCCCAGGAAATCCCATCAGCGTCTGAAGATGTGTCTGGTGGGGCCTCTTACTCTGCAGATCCACCCTCATCCTAGGCTCTAAAGTACCCCTTCCTCCACCTTCAGAGCTGGGCACTCATTGCTGGGCTACGGAGGAGGTACCGGCTTTGTGCCCACCGTCCCCTATGGGAAGCCCTGGAGGGGCGTCCTGGGCTCCCCCTCCTTCTGTGCTGAAACACAGTCCCCTTGGAGCTCCTCAGCCTAGGTCCCTCACTGCTAGTGGCCCACTGGCCACCTCAGCTCTTCAGCCACACCAAACACTGGCCTCATGCCCACTCTTTTTCTCTTTGCATATCTGACCCCAACAGGGCACCGTAAATCCTTAAATAAATAACTCTCCCGCTCAGAAAGCCGTTCTTGTGGTGCATATTTTCCAGCTCCCCCCTCACAGGTGAAGTCACCATCTGCTGCGTCTGGGTACATGGTTCACTCTTGCAGCCATACACTGACAGTGACCTCTGCACAGGTCCATGCAGACGGGATGGCACTGAGGAAGACAGGTGCTGACTCTGGAGGGAAGGGGATTTGAGGCTCCATAACTGCAGAGTGGCAGGAAGGGACAGGACCGGCCAGTGGCCTCTGAGAGGAGATGGGGCCCTGGGTGAGGGGGGGCCCCAGGGGGGGACACAGTAGAGGACACAGACACAGGCTGCGCTGGGGCTTGCGGGGGGTGGGTGGGCTCTGGCTCGGTGTCAGGACCAGACACTGTGCTAATAGTTTGTCAAGTAATCATCCTCTTGATACCTCTGTCTCCTCACCAAGGAGGTCATCTGCCACCTCGTCGTGGAGACTAGATGTCTGAACCTTGCAGAGTGCTTGGCACGTACTGGACACACATAAGGCATGCGGGGGTGCGGGCACTGCTAGGCCACAGCTCATGGGGCCACGTGAGTGTGTGTGACAGAGCTGTGCTGCAGGCCGGACCTTGAAGAGCACCAGGGGAGGCCGGGCAGGGCCCTGCAGAGTATGGGTGTTTTGAGGCTACACTGGGGTGGCCTTGCAGAGGTGGCCTTGCAGAGGTGCAGCACAGCATGCGGGTCCCATGGCTGGTCGCTGTACAGGACCAGCACCTGTTCAGGTGTGGGTGGAAGCCACTGGAGGTGAGGCTCAGGAAGCCTCAGGTGCAGTTTGCCTGGGTGGAGGCTGCTGGTCATGAGGTGAGGGAGGCCGCAGGTGTGTTGGCTGTGTCCTGCAGTATAACAAATCGCACACTCAGAGACTAAAAACCACTCCCATACTTCACCTGCTCCCGTAGGTCCAAAGCCCAGGCCGAGGGAACCTGGGCCTCTCTTCAGGATGTCCTGGAGCCATTGTTGAGGTGACAGGCCATGTGGGGTTCTACAGGAGCTCTGGGACCTCTCCCATGCTCACTGAGGCTTAAAGGGTTAGTTCCTTTTGATCAGAGGCTTGAGTTGTCATCCAGAGACCATCTTTGGTGACTTGAGCTTCCTTGACCGGTGGACCACTGCCACTGGCCATTCCTAGCAGGCTTTGGCTTCCTTCCTGGCCAGCAGAGGGGCATCTCTCCATCTAGGCCCTGCCCCTTCTCAGAGCTCCTCTGGTTAGGCCTGGCCCATCCAAGATCATCTCACTTTGGATCAGCTTAACTCATGGCAGACCTCAATCACATCTGCCCACTTCCCACAGTCACAGGGGTGAGGTCTTGCCAGTCACAGGCTCCTCCCATGCTCAAGAGGGGCACATAGGAAGAGGGTCTTTGAGAGCTAGTTCTACAATTCTGCTGTCACAAAAGGAGAGACAGGTCTGGGGAGACGGGGACAGGCCATGCTCATGGCCTACATGGGAATGCAGATGGAGGTATCCAGGAGAAGGTGAGAGGGGCCAGTGTGGAGTCACACCCAGCAGCTGTCGGATCGGAGGAGCCGCAGGGTGGAAGAGAATGAGTCAGATGACATCAGACTGACTGTGGGGTACAGACAGGGGATCCAAGGTGGACACCTGGGAACACAAAACCTGGAGGAAAGGAGGTGAAGGGACCCAAGGGGCCTGGCCTGGGAGCCCAGGAGGGCTTGACCCCAGGCTATCCACATGTTGAAGGCATGACTGTGTAAGACCCTGAGGAATCTACAAGACCCATCCAGCCAAACCCAGCCAAATACAGCCAAACCCAGCCAAACCCAAACAAACCCAACCCAAACCAACCAAACCCAGCCTAACCCAACCAAACCCAGCCAAACCCAGCCAAACCCAGCCTAACCCAGCCCAAACCAACCAAACCCAGAAAAACACAACCAAACACAACCAAACCCAGCCAAAACCAGCCAAACCCAGCCAAACACAACCAAACACAACCAAACTCAACCAAACCCAGGAAACCCAACCAAACCCAGCCAAACCCAACCAAACCCAGCCAAACCCAACCAAACCCAACCAAACCCAGCCAAACCCAAACAAACCCAACCAAAACCAACCAAACCCAGCCTAACCCAGCCAAACCCAGCCAAACCCAGCCTAACCCAGCCCAAACCAACCAAACCCAGCCAAACCCAGCCAAAACCAACCAAACCCAGCCAAAACCAACCAAACCCAGCCAAACCCAGCCAAACCCAAACAAACCCAACCAAACCCAGCCAAACCCAGCTAAACCCAGCCAAAACCAACCAAACCCAGCCAAACCCAACCAAAACCAAACCAAACCCAATCAAACCCAGCCAAAACCAACCAAAACCAACCAAACCCAATCAAACCCATCCAAACCCAGCCCAAACCAACCAAAACCAACCAAACCCAACCAAACCCAGCCAAACCCAACCAAACCCAACCAAACCCAGCCAAACCCAGCCAAAACCAACCAAAACCAGCCAAACCCAGCCAAAACCAACCAAACCCGACCAAACCCAGCCAAACCCAACCAAAACCGACCAAACCCAATCAAACCTAGCCAAACCCAGCCAAAACCAACCAAACCCAACCAAACCCAGCCAAAACCAACCAAACCCAACCAAACCCAGCCAAACCCAACCAAAACCAACCAAACCCAATTAAACCTAGCCCAAACCAACCAAAACCAGCCAAACCCAGCCCAAACCAACCAAAACCAACCAAACCCAGCCAAACCCAACCAAAACCAACCAAACCCAACCAAACCCAACCAAACCCAACCAAACCCAGCCAAACCCAACCAAAACCAACCAAACCCAACCAAACCTAGCCCAAACCAACCAAAACCAGCCAAACCCAGCCCAAACCAACCAAAACCAACCAAACCCAGCCAAACCCAACCAAAACCAACCAAACCCAGCCAAACCCAGCCAAAACCAACCAAACCCAACCAAAAACAGCCAAACCCAGCCAAAACCAACCAAACCCAACCAAAACCAGCCAAACCCAGCCAAACTCAACCAAACCCAGCCAAACCCAACCAAACCCAGCCAAACCCAGCCAAATCCAACCAAACCCAGCCAAACCCAACCAAACCCAGCCAAACCCAGCCAAATGAAAACAAACACAAGATCCTCTTGGAACTAATACATGAGTCTGGGTTTAGCAAGGTCCCAGGTTGCAACATTGACCCATAGAAATGCATCACTCATATGTTTGTTTACAAACCAAAATGGAATCACAGTATCATACACAAACACTCCCCAAATATATCGGCATAAACTTAACAAGAAGTACAGAATGTAGATGCTGAAAACTATGAAATGCTAATGCAAGAAATCCAAGAAGACCACATCAACAGAGACAGACCATATCACGTACTGCAAGGGTCCATGTGGTAAGATGCCGATTCTCTGAAATCAACCTGTATTTTAAAAATATCCCTATCAAAATCCTGCCAGGACACACTGTAGATATAGACGCTGTTCAAAACTTTACATAGAAAGATAAAGGAACCAGAATAACCAAAGAAAGGCAAAACCCGAACATGACTAGAGGAATAGCACTCCCTAACTTTAGGATAAAATTGCCACTGGGGAAGTCAGGACAGGGGGTGTTGGCGGAGGAAAGACTCGCAGAGCCACCCAGCAGAGCTGCAAGCCCAGTGTCTCCCAGCAAGCCCCGCCACTGGGGCAAGGGTACAGGGCGGTCTCTTGTCAACAAATAGTTGGGACAATTGGACATTTGTAGGGGGAGCAAAACTGTCTTGACCCAAACCTCATGTGTATTATAACTCGGATCACGAGCGGATGGCAGAAGAGATCCAGAAGGCAAATCTCCATGACAAGAGGGAGGTGGGAGCTCTCTCCCATGGCACCAAAGACACGGTCATAAAGAAAACCACAGATAAGCTGGGCTTCCTCGGAACTGGAAGTCTTGCCCAGAGCGAGACTCCAGCAAGGGGTGGGTGAGCAAGCCCAGACCTGGGCACGTCCCACTTACGGGACACACGACTTCTCCCAAAATATGCAAAGAACCCTCCAGGCTCAACAGTGAGGAAGATGTCCCAGCGGGAACGTGGGTGAAGGGTCTGAAGAGTCAGTTCACAGAGGAGGACGACGAAGGTGAGATGGCCATGAAACAACGGTCAGCACCGGGTCAGCCCCAGGGGTCAGCCCCAGGGGTCAGCACATGGCACAGCAACTAGGGTCAGTACAGAGGCAACACCAGGGGTCAGCACAGGGGTCAGCACAGGGTCCAGCACCAGGGGTCAGCACAGGGGTCAATATAGGGGCCACCACTAGGGGACAGCATAGGGGTCAGCACAGGGGCCACCAGGGAACCGTGAAACTCATTTTTAATGTGGTCTGGGGACCAAGCCAGGGCGCTCTACCACTGAGCCACACCCCCAGCCCTTTTCATTTTTTGTTTAGAGACAGTGTCTTGCTAAGCTGCCCAGGCTGGCCGTGAACTTGTGACCCTCCTGCCTCGGCCTCCTGAGTGGCTGGGATGACAGTATGGCCACCTCACCCAGCTGGCAATGCAAACTCAAAGGCCAATAAGACATCACTGCACTTCTATCAGAACATCTAAGGTCGTTTAAGATTCCGAAGATTCCAGGTGCTGGTGAGGTGGGGAGCCCCTGGCTCTTACCCAGGCTGGTGGGAAGACAGGAGGTCCAGCCTCTGGGGAAACCGGACCCACTGGGCCCACCAAGCTCAGCGGGCACTCTCCACAGGACCCAGTGGCCACGCTGTGGGGTCTGTCCCAGAGAAGTCAAAACCTGTACTGACACGAAACCCGGCGCCTGGAGGTGTTGATGCCCACTGAGGCCCCCTGAGGCCAGTCAGCTGGAGTGCAGCCCGCGCACTGAGGAAGGGACTGCCGGCCACGCGGCTCACCCTGACGTGGATGCCACAGCGTGTAGGGGCACCTCCCTCTCCCCTCTGTCCCTGCTCTGATGACCTGTGAGGAAGGCCACTCCTCCTCCCGACCACCCACAGGATCTGGTACCTGCTTTCCTGCTCCTTCAAGCCATTTTCAGGGCCCGTGGCTTTCCCAGGAAGCCAAATGTGAGCCGTGAACCTGCCGCACACCCTGCATGGTCAGTCTATGTCCACCACGTCTGGAGACGGTGTGAGCGACTCCCACAGGCTTGGCTGAAGGCTGCATCCCATCATGGTGGTGGCCAGGTGCAGGGCCTGGAGGAGGAAGGGTGAGAGGCAGGCCGAGGTCTGGGGCTCCACCAGCCGAGGGGTCGATGCTGGTCTTGTAGGGTGGTCAGCTCCTGCGAGAATGGGCTGTTAGGGAGCTGGCTCCTCCCAGCCCATGCACCGCTCGCTCTTCTCACACACATACCGTCACTGGGATGCCATCTGCATGTGGTCCTCCCCAGGGCTGAGCAGATGCCAGCCCTGTGTTCTTGGACCTCCAGAACCGTGAGCAAAACAACCCCCTTATCCTTATACAGTAATCCAGCCTCAAGTATTTTGTCATAGCAACAGAGAACAGACTGATCCAACACCCAGACTCAGTCCTGAATGGCAGTCCTTCCTGTTTCTGTGGAGCAGGGGACAAACAGAAACTGCCAGGGGTCCACACCATGGAACACCATGCGGCTGTGGAAGGTGGTCTGTGGACGCGCACTGTAATGTGGTCCAACCTCAGGGTTATCAAGTGCCAAGCTCAGCAGGTTGCACCCTGTGCAGGCTCGTCCATGCACACGGCAGTCCTAGCCCAGGGCCAGGACCGTCAGAGGGGACTGAGGGGCAGATGAGGACTCTTCAGGGCGATGGAAGGGCTAAGCATCTCTATTGCAGTGGTTTCTTGAGTCCTCATAGGCAACAAAATCTCACAGAACTGCCCACTGAAAGATCCATCCCCAAACTGGCGGTCCAGGCTGGGGTGTGTCCAGTGGTCAGTGCCTGCCTGGCCTGTGTGAGGCCCTGGGTCCCAGCCTCAGCACCACAGAGACATGATGGAGTCCCAGTGGGGCCTGGGATTGAAGGGACAGTAGAGGGCCAGGTCCCAGGTCCTGGGTGTGGACAGCAAACGGGATTTAGGGAAGATTCACCTTGAGGGTTACAGGGGAGGCTAGAGGGCAATAAGGCCTGCCTGGCTCTATCTGTGCCAGGAGCAGCCTCCTGAAGGCCAGGGGCCCGTCCTAGCTCCCGGCCTTGACCCCGCCACCGCAGGGAGGGAGGAAGTCTGGGTTCCGGAGACCGCTGGTCCCAGGCGAGGGCTCCTCTGAGCCCAGGGCAGGGTCCTGGCTCCTCAACCCTGGTGTGGGTGGCGTCCCGCCCCGCCTGCCCTTCACACCTTAGCCCCTCAGCACCTGGGTTCAACCCCCACGGGCCCAGCTCCCAAATCAGCCTCAGGGGTGGGTCAGGTCCCCGCGACCAGCCTGCCTGGCTCTCCATCTGGCCACAGCAAGCACGCACCCAGCCCTGCCAGCCGCCAGCAGATGGCTCTGCTGCAGATGGTGAGCTGACCTCCACGCTGTCCTGAGGTTTCCACCCTGGAGCAGGGCCACATGGCCCAGGTGACAGCAGTGACAGTGCCATGGAGAGCCACAGGCTGCAGTTCCCAGGCCTCCCACCACGGGTCAACCTAGCAGACAGGCCTTCGGGGGTGCGGAGCCCAGCCCCAGGGATCCGAGCTGTGCGGAGGCTTCAGAGCTGGGGTGCAGTCAGAGCTGGGGTGCAGTCAGAGCTGGGCCGTCCCCAGGGAGCAGCCACAGGCGGAGAGCAGTCGCTGCCCCTGGGAGAAGGAAGTGAAGCCCCCTGTGGGGGTGCAGTCTCCTGGGGTCAGTTCTTCCTCTGAGGTGAGGTGGTAAGAGGGAGCGGAGCCTTAAGGGGCAGAGCCTAGTGGGGCACTGCGAGGTCACGGGGTCATCGCCCCCACAGGGATTGGGGAAGCTCTCCTGGAAGCCAGTGGAGCTCACAGGGTCTGGTCCCTCCCAGTCTCTGGCTTCTTTTCTCCCTATGTGATCCCTCCCACCATGCTGCCAGGGGCCAGGGGCCAGGGGACATCCCCAGAGCCAGCACTTGCTGCTTAGACTTTCAGACTCCAAAAACGTGAATTAAATCAACGCTGTTTTCTTTTTGTAATTTTTTAATTCTAATTTTTTTTTTTTGGGAAAGTTGGTCATTTATATAACTGGATGTTGCCACCAGGATGGAATATCAATTTCTTCCCTGAATTGGAGTCCTAGTCCTGTTACTCTGGTTCTGTGTCATCATTTTAAGGTATGTGTTAGATTCTGAGTCTGAAGAAGACCCCTTCCACTCTCGGTATTTTTATAGGGTTTCATCACCAGCACAGACTCAAAGTACTTGAGGTTGTACATTCTGGCAGAAGTCAACAAAAATACTCATTTCTTGAGCTTTTTGCCAATGTGGACTTTCTGGTGGTTCGTAAGCCGAGACCAGGGACTGAAGTCCTTGCCACATACTTTGCATTTGTAAGGTCTTTCTCCAGCGTGGACCCTGTGGTGGGCTTGAAGGCGTGCACTCTCACTGGAGCCCTTTCCACATGCCTCACGTTGAAAGTTTCTCCCGGGTGTGAACACTCAGATGGACTCCAAGATCTGAGGGGAGACTCAAGGCTTTACCACCCTCCTCACACTTATGAGGTCCTTCTGTGTGGACCCTCTGGTGATGGCAAAGACTCAAGCTCCCCCCAAGCCCTTCCCTCAGTGCCACCCTGTGAGGTCTCTCCAGTGTGTCCTCTTTGATGTGTGTGAACTGTGAACTGTCTCTAAAGCCCTTTCCACACACCCCCATTTATTCGGCTTCTCCCCGGTATGGACTCTCCGGTGGGACTGGAGGCCCAAGCACTGACCAAGCCCTTACCCCACACGGACCACAGGAGTATGGTTTCTCTCCAGGATGGACGCGCTGATGGCCTGGCTGAAGCTCTTATCACACTCTTCACATTTGTAGGGTTCCTCTCTGATGAGCGTGAAGGTTGACCTCCATCTGAAGCCCTTCCCACACTCCTCACATTTCTATGGCTTTTCTCCACTGTGAATTGCTAGGTGAAGTTTAAGATTTGAACTGTAGCTGAAGCCCTTGCCACACACTTCACATCTGTGGTGTTTCTCCCCAGTGTGGACTCACTGATAGATGTGAAAATGTGCCGCCTGAGTGAATCCCTTCCCACACTCCTCACCTTTGTAAGGCTTTTCACCCCCGTGGACCCTCTGATGGACACGGAGATTAACACTCCAGCCAAAGCCCTTGCCACATTCCTCCCATTTGTAAGTTTTCTCTCCAGTGTGAGTCCTATAATGAATGATGAGCCTGTGCTGCTACGGAATCTGTTGCCACAGCTGTCACATCTGTAGGACTTCTCTCCTGAGTTAGACTGGTGAGAATAAAAAGGGTTCTTACTGAAGCAATCGCCAGATCCCTGACCTTACCCAGTGTCTCTCCTGGGCGAAGTCTGACGGGTTTGCAGCTGTGTGTTCTGACTGAAGTGCTTCTCTCCTGGGGGAACCCTCTGATGAAGGTGAGGCACTGAACTATAATGGGAGCTCATTCCAACCTCACTACATGGATGTGGTCTCTCTTTAAAGGGTAACTGCATGTTGGAGCCATCAGTAGTGCTCCAGCCACATCTGTCACATTTGCAGGGCTTCTGCTCTGTCTCATTTTTAACATGTTCACTGGATGGTGATCTCCTCATCAAGTCTTCACACAATTGCACGCTGCGATTCACACCAATTTGCTTATTTCTACTGAGATTCTCTGACTTGCTCAGAATGCATTCTGGCAAGAGTCCTGGGTTCTTAAAGTTGAAAACTCCTCATTTTCAGCATACCTGGAACCATTTCCTTTATGCTTCTTTATAATTCTCTCACTTTCAAAAACCTGAATGGATCTCCTTGTGATGACTGGAAATCCTTCCTCTGAAGACATCTGGTTATTTACTTGCAACCTGTTTCCAGATTTGCAGCAGGACACT